GAGGGCGGGAAGGGGCGTGATGGAGAATAGCTGTGGGAGAGGACGCGGGATGGTGACATTGTGGACAGAAGTGAACAAAATTGCAAACTTAAACGCCTTCTCGCTGCCGTCCGGTCGGTCCCAACTCACAGCGAGCCCACAGGACGGTCGCACTGGCCCTGTGGGTTTCCGAGACCAGACCGCAGCTCCTTTCAGGCACAGAGAGCCTCCTATTAGGCAGCTAAAATCGAATGAATCCTCAAGGACAGGGAGTCCCTCTTCCCTTTGGAGGGACCACGAGTCTCATTCTGTTTTCTGTGGCTTTGGAAGTGAGGTTCCCATTGGATGTTGGAGATAGTTGACAAGAGACAGCTTTGGGGGCTTGATTTATCAGAAGTTTCATTATACATTACTTGCTCCATGTGGACAATACAAAATGATAACAATAACAATAATCCTCATACAGCCATCAAAGCCAGGCTGACGCACAGTGACCTCCCTGTAGGTTTCTGAGACTGTCAGTTTTTATGGGATTTTTTAATGTGGATTCCAGCCCAAAGCTTATCCGCTAGGCCACCAACAAAGAAAATGCAGGGAGAGCACTAAGCAGCAAGGAAAAGTGTTCCTTGTGGAGGTGAAATCATTTCTAGAAAAGATCTCTGGGCTCTAAGGGTATCCAGCTCAGCTGGAAGCATCAAGGGGGCTGCTTTCCTCTGGGAACTCCCACCAGTGTTTGCTTTTCTGCAGTAGTTATCTTTACATCAGAGAATTGTTGTTAAATTTAAATGAGGTAATCTGGCACAGAGTAAATCCCTTCTAATCGTATGCTTTTCTCTTCCCTGCTTTTAGCTAATGTCAGTGTCTAATTTACTGCCGTTGAGTCAATACAGACGCATAGCGACCTTATAGGACAAAGTAGAACTGCCCTGTGGGTTTCCAAGACGGTCACTCTTGACAGGAGTAGAAAGCCTCATCTTTCTCTGAGCTGCTCATCCATCTCATCCATCTTCTTTCCCTAATGTTCTACCCAGTGGGCTCCCCTCTCTAGGCTCACGCCTGCTCCAGTCTCTAGGACAAGCTTCAGAGAGGATATGTATTAGAACGTATAGCCCATTGCTTGGGGAGCCAGCAGGATGTCACTGTGTTAATAGTCTGGCTTTGGTTCCCTTTGTCCATTCGGATAACTGGATTTTTGACTGGTGCTCAGTTATTGCCCCCAGTTACTGTGATGGAATCCTGACTTCCTATGCGTTGTCTCTTTTTCTTCTGCTTAGGAAGTCCTCTTCTGCTTTGACTAGCACATTCTTATTTATGCTCTAACTGAAAACCAAACTCACTGCCAATGAGGGCAATTCTGACTAGCAGGACCGGGTAGCACTGCTCCTGGGGAGGGGGGGTGTTCTAAGACTATAACCCTTTACGGAAGTAGAAAGCCTTATCTTTCTCCCAAGGAGCAGCTGGTGGTTTTGAACTGCTCATCTTGTGGTTAGCAGCCAAACATGTAAGAATTCATTCATATGCTGTTTGCTCTCCAAGGGTTTCCCAGGCTCCCGCTGGCAGTTAGTCTGACCCTTCATTCTGCTCCTTAGTCTTTCGTAGCGTTTGTCAGGTCCCATGGAATTTTATGTTGTTCACCCGACTGACTGTTACTAGAAGATGGTGAGCTCTAGCCTGAAAGGTTTGTGTAGTTTACTCCTCCTTTCTCCGCCAGTGCCTATCACAGCCACGGGACTCAATTCATGTTTTAGAAAGCTGCTAGAAGAGA